TATAAGGAGTATGTTGTTACGAAATGTCGTAATTTCTATCGAAAACAATTCTAAATTTGACGGCGTCGAAAGTTATGGGTTTACTTCTTGGATCCCACCCCGTATAAGATTTCTCATGAATACCAAGCCCTTCACGAAAAGGAAAAGAAAGGAAAAATTGGTTCACACTCGCAATGTAGCAAAAAAATGAACAGTGAGGGGGTTTGGATCACATTGATATATTTTTTAGACGCGTTAATATATAAGGAATATTTGCAACATGGGAATTTAAAATAGACTTGTGAGTAATCACATTTATGACAAGGTATACTTTGAAGTGATTGAAGTCTCGTCCACTGATAAATGCGAAGAATGTAACATTACTGACATCCTTAGACAATCTTTCAATATATTTAGCCTATGCAACAATTTATATGAAATTGCGCTACTTGCACTCTGTTTTGAATCGAGGAAATCATGCATATTGCGACAGCGAAGCCGCATGAGCATGTGTGCAAATAAGAATCTGGACTATGAAGTCAGTGGTCGCGGATTAAAATCTGATGTGCTATCGCGTTTGTTTCGGTCATAGCTAAAGTGAGGACTCAGCCGATAAAGGCGTAACACTTATCGATTGGGCATATATCCACTAAGCTGCCATCAATTTCCTATTTCTTCTTTTCTTTCTCCTTTCTTACTTTTATCTACCCGCCACCTCGTCACGCGAGGAGAGGTTCGAAATTTAACTACTTTCTAAATTCTTACGAATTTCGTCGATTTCTTTATCTCAATTTTATATATTAGAGCGTACGCCACGGACATCATTAACGCAATTTGTCACGACCGATATGAACTTTTGTCTTAACCTGCATGGAAGGGACGATTGTAATGAAGATTATATTATCGAAAGTGTTGTTCTTTACATTAATTGGAAAACTTGAAACCCGTAGTTGAAAAGATTATTTATTAACTATCCAGAATAGATTAGTGAACAATGATTAGATTCATTCCGCCACTTGCACTTATTATTATCATATCTTTTATACCGCCTTCGAATTTGAATTCTATTTTTCTTGTCATTTGTTGACGTGCATTCCCTCATAGTTAGTCGTTCATCGTTTGTGTTTTCTTTTGCGGATTTGCTTCTGGTTATTACTAACATCTTTTTTATCCATTCTTGGTCTTCTCCTCTGGATATTGGAATCATCTCTTTTAATATATCAGAATTTATATTTATCCATGCTAAGGCGTCAGCGTTAGTGTTGCTTAAACCTTTTTAGTAAATTATGTTGAAATCGTAGTCCGATAATTCTATTCTTATTCTGGTTAATGTTGAGGTGGGGTTTTTGTGGAAGAATAGTGCTACTAATGGTCTGTGATCAGTTATCACTGTGAATTTTTTGCCGAATAAGTATGGTCTGAAATGTGTGTGTGGATTGCGAGTAGTTCTTTTTCTATGATTGGTTTGTTTTTTTCGTGGATTTTTTTAGGGATTTTCTTGCGTATGCGATGGGTAAGTCTTGGCCTATTTCTTCTTGTGATAGTACTGCTCTTAAGGCGTAATTCGATGCATCAGTTGTTAAAATGAAGGGTTTATCGAACTTTGGATATTGTGATATGGGTGGGGACATTAGTTTGGTAGATGTTGAGTGGTTCGTTGTTGATATATAGGTGCTGTATTGTGATTTCTTCATCTAGTGTATTTAACATTTTAATGTGTTTTTGTCCGTTTTTTGGTATTATTGAATTGGCTAAAAATATTCCTTTTTCCATTTCTTTGGTTAGTACTAAAGCATCGCTGTCTATTTTGATATCTATGGAGACTGTAACTTCGCATCTTGCAGGGAGAAATATGTTGCTTTTGTTCAGTATTTCATCGTATATAGGGAGATGAATTTGGTCATCGTGTGTATTAACATTTTAATGTAATTAACTGTAATGTAATTAACTGTAAGAGAGAAATTTTCATAATCTATGTTACATGCATACTTGTGTAGGAAATCTCTTCCTATGATTCCATCGGTTTTTATCGGGAAGTTCTGATGTACTAGTTGTATTTTATGTTGAGTGATTCCGTTTCATAGATTTATATTTAAATGTGTTGTTCCCAATGTTTCTATACATTCGTTGGTTGTTTAGTTGGTAGTGTTCCAAAATGTGTGGTCTGCAGAGGCTGATGTCTGCTCCTGTGTCTAATAGAAATGATATTTCTGGTTTTGTTGCATTTTGAATATTTATTAGTATATAGTTGGATGATTTTGAGATGGAGGAGATATGAGGGTTCAGGTGGCCAGTGGATGCCTGGTTTAAGTGTTTTGTGCCGAATTCAGGACCATCGTTGAGGAATCCGGGTGAAATTCGTTTCCCTGGTCTTCTATTCCATGTACGTGGTTGTTTTGGTTGTTGTTTCTTTGATTTCTGTTATTATTATTATTTTGTTTTCGATAGTTGAAATTCCTACTATTGTTATTGTTTCTATTAAAATTGTTGTTATTGTTATTGTGATAATTAGAATTATGCTGAATTTGCATAATTCTGTCGCACTTCAAAATGGATACGTATAACGATATGTGATCACGCTGAACGCCGTTGCAGTATGATGATCAAATTACTTGTGCGTAAGTAACTAAATAGTGATGTGCACTACAACTACAATGCCTACACGCCTATTGCGATAAGAACTAGAAACATCTTTTCTTTCCAATTTTATGGAGTATGAAAATTAAACCTATTTTTCTTTTCTGCCTTCTTGAGGTTACAACCGAAAGTTATTTGCTTAATTGTTAATTGTAAACTTGTGTTTTCTATCAACTTCTTCTTCCACTACTTATTGCAATGCAAATTAATTATAGTTTGGAAAAAAGTAAACAGGAAATAAATCTTGATTTAAAATTAGACTCAAAATCGTTTGCCTTAAAGGAAGCCTTCAGAGGTTGATGATAGCTCTGAAGTGTTCCTTTGAAAGCTCTACAAAACAGTTCAGTGTTTAAAAATTAATAAAAAAAGAAAAAAACAAAGGACGCAGCTAATATCATTTAGTTTATAGTTATTATTAATTTAAAATTTATATTTAATTTAGTTATAATTTGAAGTTATTGTAAAAAGATATAAAAAATATAAATTTAATAAATTGAATTTAAAAAAGTAAGGTCGTTTTTTAATTTTTTGATGTCCATCTCAACTAGCATAACATTGATGTCATAACATTGTAGCGAGGTATCCATTGCTGTGTTACGTGGATAAACCATGTCGACTATTCAGGTGATAATGACTCACTTATGCCTGCATCAATTAGCCAACACATGTCCATCTCATAGCATAACATTGATGTCATGCCATTGTAGCGAGGGATATATGACACCGTTAATTGTAGACCCATTTGAGCATTTTCAAACTGCATAGACGTTGCGTTTGCGTTGGGAAAACAATCAAACAACTGCTTTCTTGACTATGATTATAATCCATCCATTTTAGACGAACGGTACTAGTTTCCACAATCGAAAGAATATTTCTGATGTTGGCATAGCTCTAGCCCTGGGGTTTTTTAAGTGTCCCCACTTTCGAGAGAGATGGTACAACTTTGTCGTCACATCATATTTTGCGAATTGAGTTTTGCAGACTGGGAGATGATAAACAGTCAAATTATGAGGTGGAATAGAGTCAGAGTCTGTGGTGTTGCTCTTTGAGTGCGATGAACTACATAGTGGGAGGTAACGTTGTTTCTTTTCCCAAGCTACAATGTTTCACTTTTTCAGACAATTCAGTTTTTTTTCTGAATATAATTCACTTTTTGGCACAGCTTTCTTTTTCTATTTTCGTCAACTTTCTTCTGTTTCTTCTTTCCCTAGTTCTTTAACCAATTTTCTTATAGAATCTTGAATATCACAAGCCCCTTTTTGTATCAAATTACTTTTTCACTTACTTAGAAATCATTCCAATCCTCAAAACACATTTTAGGGTTTTTCGTTGCTCTTTATGGCTTTGACTCGTTCTGGAAAAAATCATTAAAGTTTTGCAATTCTTGAGATCTGCTGCGCAAATCCACGCAGTCGCACAGGAATTTATGGTATCCGCAGACCCTCTCTCAACAGTTTAAAACGTATCCGTAACGTTTTTCACAAATTTTTCAACCCTTTTCTTTTATTTTATTATTAATTGATATGAATTAATTTAAAAATCTTTTTATGCAAAAAATTACTAATAGCAATGTATAAGATTTTTATTCCAAAATTGTAAATGTCCAAAATTGTTCTTTTTTTCAAATTTTAAAGGATATGCTTTATGGTTGCGGCTACAACAACATGAAAGAAATCAGAAAGACGGAAGAATACCGAACAGTACTCTTCTTCGGTATACGTAGCCTGCTGACAAGTTTTAACGTGTTGATCAGCGCCATTCCCATAACCAGCTATAATGGATATTCAAACGAACTACACAAATGTTTAATATCGTAGAGGAAATCGGACTGGACGTGAAAGCAGTAGTCTGCGACAGGAGCAGCGCAAACCTGCACACACTGATAAAGTTCAACAACGGAATTTATAAACGAAAGCGAGCGGACGGTACCGTTTATACGATATACCATCTGGTCGACTATATACATCTGATGTATGGAATTTACTATCTGATGACAAGGAACAAGGAACTGTTCAACACTTCCGTCTTCACCAAGGCACATGCGGGAAAACTTAGCACCTCAAATCACTTAAAGAGAAGAGGTGCATGCTTGATCAATACTGCTGCTTCATCGCTCAAAGAATGTATGCAGTTATTAACTCCCGCAACAGCGGCAAACTTGGACGCCGCTGCGAAGCGCAAAATTATTCATGGAACAAAAGAAATGCGAACATATGAAGCTATCGCTGCTGTGACTAAATTGTGCACAGTCATGCACAGTGGCAAGATAAGCAGCGCCGAATGGGAAGAACAGAAAGCGGTGCTAGTGGAAGTGATTTAAAAGATAAACTCCAGACGACCGAATTGACGCCGCCTTGCAAACCATCCACAACTTCATGGAAGTAATGGATGGCCTGCTGGAGGCTTACCCTGGCATAACTATCCACGCCTACAGGGTAAGCCAAGACCTTTTGGAGAGATTTTTCTGCAAGATGGCGCCAAGCAAGATAAAACGAACAGGAAAGGTGGAAGATATAATAAAGCTGGGCACCCGCCTAATGAAACAACTCGAATTTTGGAGAGGCGGATCCAGAACTGGTGGCGGTTATGATCTAATCAATAAACTTGATAATTGACTTGACATTATATAGGTACTATATAGATATATTATAGTTTTAAATTTAGTTACAATGGTGTATGCCTACTGGGGAGCCAGCCATTTAAAACAATTGGCAACGCGCCTATCACGGTACCCCAAGGGTGGTGCGGAAAACCCTGTCGCTGCGGATTTTTTAGGTATGCTTGTCACTTCAACATTGGCTTCTAAAGCGTCTGCAACTACTGCAATTGTTTGATTGTTTCCACACCGACAGTGGTGGTCTCCTTCGAGTTATGTTCACTTTCACTTTCAGACCTGATCGTACTCTTCCAATTAGAGTGATTATGGAGTTATCCCTTTGATGCCGTGAAAGCAGAACGTGGATCTACAAGTAAATATAGATCATTTACCTTTTTTCACTTTTTGATGATATTGAGCGCTTAACATTTTCCAGTTAATTGCGAAATCAAAAGAGCTAAGAAATAGTGTATAAAACATAATAAAATAGATCTAAAGAATGATAACGAAACGGCATTGGATATATGGGCTCTAGGTTGCATTCTAGGAGAATTGTTATCGCTTAAGCCCTTATTGCCCGGCAACATAGAACTTGAACTGGCCTTTTAGGGACTCACTCAGAAGCCAGATTTTCCAAAAATGCTAGCCATACAAAATTTCACTCTTAAACAACAGCTCTATACACATCTAAAACCAAAGTTTCAATATCTGTCCGCGGCAGGTTTAAGATTTTTAAATTTTCTCTTTAGGTTACAGAGGGCATGGCCACCTTGGAATTGCTATTAACCAAAATACCCATTAAAACGGAAAAGCAGGCATTGAAAATTCTCGATATATGTTCTAAAAAGCAATTTATTAATGCTGAAGAGGAAGTCTGCGAAGTACAAGCAAACAAATCTTTCACCGAAGAACGTTATGGTAATACTTTTGAATGGACGATAAGATCTAGGGATACCTTGTATGTTACTTCTATCGCCGACTACCTACTAAAGATGTATTGGATAGCGATGGCTTTGAAAAAATGGTATGTGTTAAGGGCGATCAATACATTAACGTTATGAGCCAAACAGAAGGTCATACAGTCCAACTGATAGCTGGTAATCATCTGAGGTAGAGTTACGACGTTACTGGCGGTTGTGCAGTAAATGTGAAATTTTAACACCTCCTCGTTCATGGCATTGTGAAAGTTGTGATACTTGCATTTTAAAACGGGATCATCATTGCGTTTTTACCGGTTGTTGTGTGGGTCATAGGAATCAACGTTATTTTCTTAGGTTTATTGTACACATCATTCTTGGTACCTTTTACGCTCTGTGCTACAATTCGGCATATTTCTGGTGGCTACATAAAGAAACCTTTTTGGATTTGGGGACTGCTGTCAAAATGATATGTCCCTTTATGACATTTTTAGCAGAATTTTCTTGGACCAATATTTATTTAGTCATTTATGAAATTAATGTAATTGCTTTGATTTATACCGGAGTGCTATCGTTTTTCCAAGGCTCGAACATTTTGAAGGGTGCTGTATCGTATCATGAACGCCAAACAGCTAAATATGACATGGGTTGGAGGAAAAATCTAATAATAGTTATGGGAAATCGGTGGCGTTTGGTATGGTTGTGGGCATTTTTAGATAGCAAATTACCTCATGACGGTGTATAATGGAGAAAATTCCTACATACTTCAACGAAAAATCGTTGAATATTTTTCTTTTCAGAAATTTTTAAACAAACCTCGTCGTTTCTATTCTGCGGTCCTTTGTCTGCGCCATAGTAAAGTCCGAAGTTAGTTTTAGTACATTTTTTTAAAAATTACTTTTTTTTTATTTTTTAAATTGCTTTCAAATCAATGTCTTATTTTTTTTGCGATATTTTTTCTTCATTCTTTAACATTCTTACGCCCGTCATGGGTTTTCTCCGCAAAATGCGTTTCGTTTTACAATTGAAGGCTAAATGCGTTAAGAACTAAATTAATCAGCGAGGTAGGTGTGTCGTAATTGATGCGGTCGACTCGAATCCTAAATATATATATGTATATATATATATCTATATATATATCGACGAGTAGATCTGTGTTCTCTTTAATAACTGTGAATATTTTTAGACAGAATGTAACAATTATCCTTAAACTAAAGTTAAATTGAAACAAAGTAAGTTATAATTAAATATTATCCGTTATATATTTTGCATGTTCTAAAAATAATATTAAAAGTAAGATTTGTGAAATTTGTACAACTTGAATGAATTAATGACTTAAATAATATCAGGAGAACTTAAAAGGAAAGTATTGCAACTTAGTTAAGCATGTACCTTCGATAAATAAAAATTTAATATAAGTTAGTCTAAAAATTAAAATAAATTAATTTGAAACGAGCAGCCTCATACAATTCTACTTATATTATAGCTATGTGGTCTGTGGAATTGTTAGTGTTTGTTTCGATAAATGTCTGGAGTGAATATGCTTTTGGCAAAATACCCAAAACGTGGACTCATCCAAAGACCACTGTGCTTCTTTAGCACATGGAAGATGCGCTAATAATTTGCAGTCACGTTGTAAACAACAAACCATAGCACCAGGCTTAAAGCATAAACTGCATAGCGCTCGTGCGCTATTCCATACAGAATTGGCGATTCCAACAACCTGTGAACCCACAAGAAATATATCGGGAGCCCATACGGCGCAATCTTCATGCAGCCATACTTCATAATTTCCGTCCGATATTTTACACATTCCTAATAGAAAATCAGAGCAATTGGATTCTGTATTGCAATTCATCATGGCTCCTAATCCTGTTCCATTATCATTTTTTAAACAAAATTCATTTGTATGCCTTTTTCTTCGCTTGCTTATCTGGAAAGTAAGCCGTAAATTAGATTTAAAAAAATTTTGCTTTTTTTACTTTGTAGTCTTACCATTTCAGCGGCCGGGCAAAAATTATCACTCTTTCTCGAGGCAATCGCAAGAAAGTTTCGAGTATTCAAATGCATTCCCTCCGTACGTGAACGTTTGTAAGCAAAGGTTTCCTCTGAATCTATTTTATTAGATATTGAACTAACAATGTTTAGGTATTCGTCGCAATTTATGGACGCGATATATGGGCCGAACAGATCGCCCAGACCCATCTTGTGCGGACCACGTTTGCAAAATACACAAATCCATGACGAGTCGGTAGTATCCGCGTCGTATTTATTACTTAACGTTGACGAATGCAAACCACGTACATTTTTTCGTCCTTGACTGAATGCACTGGTCTTCTTAATTTTCGTATTCTTTTCACTGACATCCTCGGTAGAAGTTGTATTGACTACGCTAATGCTGCCGTCTTTTTTGATAAGAATAAACGGTGATCGGTGTTTAATATCAGCATCGCGCGATGTCTTTAATATTGTATCGTTTGGTATGGTATAATCATCATGACCTGGAAGAGAATTTCGCAATTGACGTGGCCGTATTTTTGCTGGCTCTTGAGTTTTTTGTTTGTTATCGCATGGACTTGATTTTGTTGCTTTAAATGCTTTTGTATTAGCCTTAGAAATTGCCTTCGATTTGTGTTTGGCGGGCCTTTGCCGACCCGTAGTCTTTGCATTCCTTTTCTTTATGCATTTGTTACTGCCACTATGAATTTTATTTAATTCCGTGGACACCGAGGTGCTCGAAGAATCATCACGAGAACTTGCTATGTCATCTAAGCATAATTTACTCTTATCGTTGGTAACAGCAATTGCCTCATTGGTGTCAAGGGTTTCTGATATATGATTAGGTGAAGGATCCCTGATTCTCTTCGAATCTTGCATATCAGTTAAGTAGCTTGTTAGGTCCGCATCAACTTTCATCGGCAGGACATTACATGTTTCGGTTGATTTTTTAGCCGCCTTCGTCGGTAATGATCTTTCTATTTTCGGTGGAGTGTTGGCAATTTTGTTATCCAAATGCGTAAACTCGGGCTTTTCGTTGCGATTGATACGTGAATTGAATTGTTCAGTTATTGATGATTTCACTGATAATTCGAGTTCCAAAGGTTTTTCATCACAGCTAATACTAGCTTGGGTGGCGATATCGTTATTGCTTTGTCGTACAATAGGCTCATCTTCGATGCCCGCAAACATTTCTTCCAACTTATTCTCAACCTGAAAATGGGTGATAACCAGCAATAATTTAATTAAACAATAAATTTGTAAGTAACTCACCTCCTCAAAGCAAGTCTTATCAGGACTTTTAATTTCCGGATGATCGTTGCATACCGCAGACGAGCCGCTGACGGAAGAATTTGAGGACATTTTTCTTGTATTTTCTACAATATCAATTAGGATATCTGCCTTTGTTTCACTGTGTGAATGATTATCGGCAACATCTTTTACCGTGTAATCATCAGTTGGAGTAGTCTTTTTAATATCGTGTATTATTATGGTAGGGTCATTTTCCTCTTTTGGGATGCAACGCGATTTGATGTTGCTATTACCGTTAAAAGAATGGTTCGCAACGCTCTCATCAAATGTGATATTTGCTGGAGATTCAGAAACTTCAATTGGCGCAGTCTTTATCTTATTAATCACGTCCGTTGACTTGTCTTTGCATTGTAAACGCAAATCTTCCGCGTTTATTGCATTATCGTTCGTCGAAATACTCTCGTTAAATGAATTAATCGAAGAATTTGAATTGGAATTTGATCGCAAAACTTGTCGTTGCATTTTGTTTGTTTTATTCGATAATTTTAAAGGTCCAACATCTTCCTTCATTTGAAGCGAAGTACTTTCGTTTGAATCATTGCTATTTTTCGTCGAAATTTCACTTATTTTTTGCGCAAGATTGGGTTCAAGCAGAATATTTGGTTTTTCAGTTATCACTGATGTCGTTGTCGTGCTTCTAAAAGAAGTTTCCTCTCCATCAGACGAGTTTGGATCTTCCATCACGTGTGGCTCAATTCTTGAATTTGAAAGCGAACTAAAAAATACATCAAGAATAATATGCATATCAATTTTGGTGCATGTACTACAGACATAGACTTATGGCATTCAGAAATGATGTTCTAAAAGCTAACTGTAAGAATATTAGGCAGGATTTTATATTGGAAAAGTGCTTAACTATGGATTGAAGACGATCTAGACGACCTAACAGGATCTAGACTTATCAGAAATTTTTGCTTTAATGATCTATTATCTAAAATTTGCACCGGCCAATAACTTGGAAAGCGCTTTTAAAATTCTTTAAAATTCACATGAAAATCGATACACTATTAGTAACGTACATAACGTGGACAGTAATTGAAGGAAAATTAGATCGCCTTATGAAGATATCTTTCGCAGAAGTTCTCCTCCTCAGATAGGGAAGGTATGACTGGTTTATAGTTTACGAATTGCCGTTTACTTACTTTGCGCATTTAATGGTGCGATCTTTCGGGGATGAATCTGTTTGAACGACATCAGCGCTGCTTTTATTATGCGATACATCTAATAGAATTTCTTTTTCTAAAAGATTGATTTTCGTGCTTTCACCCGCAAGCTTTTTCTCTGGCGTTTCTTTACCATTTTCTGTAAACTCTTCGTTCGAAGATGAAGATTCTGAGTTGTCTTGATTGGCTGGAGTAAATGCTATTAAACTGTTGGGTTTAGGCGATGAATGGTTCATACTTATGGATGATTTTACGTCATTAACAGATTCCTTTTCGCATATGACACGATTAAATGATTTCTCATAATTATCACCTGTAGTTCCCAAAGGCAATAGATCTGGTGGCGTTAACGGGGACCTCTGGATATTCGTTCTCTGCTCATTACTAAGTTGCTGATAATGTTGCGGGAAGAATGATGTATGGCCATGTTGATGTTCTCGCTGCAGGTCGTATTCTTCTCGTTCACGAATACCAATTTGGTGTTGCCTATGAGGATCGTGTTCGGTCATTTGATTTGAAAGCGACTCGACTATATTCACAATTGAATTTCGCAATTAATTAAAAATTCTTCGAAAATGTAAGAAGATAAAAAAGTTCTTACCGGCTGAAAGCGTCGACCTTAAGGATGCATGTGCATATTGACTGGCGGCCGGCAAGGATTTGGGCGCCAAAGTTGGCGAAATTGTTAGATTTTGACTAGATGCAACTGGTAAACTATACCTTCCCTGTTGTGGATGCATGTACGGCTGATGATAATGATGCGGTGAAACTAAATGCAGTAGTTCAGAGTTAAGCGAAATTAAGTTATTAAGAGTCTTTCATTGTAGGCTTACACTTTTTTGAAGAATGTTCATGTTTATTGCTTATGTTACTATATGGACAATCTTTATTAATCAATTCCGTTGGATTTTGCGTCGACCTCGTCTACAAAAAAAAACAAAAAAAATTTAAATATATCATAAAGATAAAATTTCCTTAGATTTAGTATTTAATCAAGTGATAGATCTTTACGCTACCTTGGTTCTTTTTTTTTTTTTTTGCTTAATTCTTAATATACCTCACTTACGCCATGATAACCATGTTTGATTTGCGCAGAATCGTTGTAATTTTCAGAATCGTGTAAGTACTGAGTTGTGTTTTTGGTACTATTATGGCTTCCACTTCCCGGGAAAGACGCCGACGCCATAGCAGATGCTGGTGGCAACAAACGTTCGCAATCCTTTCCATTTAGATTTGCGTATTTCGGATTACTGCCGAGTAAAATCGTTGAAGTAGGTGGACAGGCTTGTAAATTAGCTACGAGGTCAGTAACTCTTTCCAAAGTATTAGCGGCAGGTATAGATATGGTTGAACGGAGATGTTGTGGTAATTGCTGGTGTGCAGCACTCGTATTTTCAGCAGAAGTCGAATGCAGGGATGTAATTGGGCTGCAAAATTTTAAAGAAATTAATTTTTTTTTTAAATAATAACAATATTATTAATTATGACTACATTTAGAAAGCAATTTAAATGTTTCGTTGAAAGTAAAGAATGTTTAAGAGATTCCTTAACGTACATTTCAGCCTGTATGAACCGATTTGCTATGGTATACTGACTGCTTAATTGGAATGTTTTCAAATTTAAAAGACCCGTCAACATGTATGAAGGGGAAGAGTTTTTATTTTGGATAGAAGTATATTTGTGATTCTCTCTGTAAGGATATACTTTTTATTCACTTAATAGACGTTTCCTAAACCTACTTATTGATATCAGAAATTCTCTTATTTGAAGAATTGAAATATTGCTAAATAGATCGTCACCTAATTTGATTTCTTATTTAACAGAATTTGCAGCTATGTCGCATCTCGTTTGTTCGCACTCGTGCATATATATATTTACTTACAGTATATAATTATTTGATGGTGTTTGCTGGTGATTGGATTGTTGCATATTACGATGTTTATGTTCGTATTCATCTTGCGGCATACTATACGGACCGGTATTATTAAAAGTGGAACTTAAACTTCTCGATTGCAATGACAAGTCCATGGAATCAACAAATTAAATCGAAGGTATAATAGATAAGCGTGAAATATTGTTGTTTGAAACGATTATTTAAGCAGCTTTTAACCAATAACTCATCATCGCAATGGAATAAAAAGGTGAACTCAGCTTAAAAGTAATATGTGCGGTACTTGAGATAATATCTGTGGAATATAAAAGTTTAACTTTCATTCATATAAATGAAAATAATTTTGAATCTTAATGTACGTATAATATTGCAATAATTATTAAACATACATGAGAGTGGCGAAATGTTTCTTAGATGTCTGAATGTTATGTTGTTGAAAATTTTCTGTAAAATATAAAAGACATTTATAGAAATTTAATATGAAGTGAGAATAATAATAATAAGTGAGAATTTGTTTTTAAGCTAATGAAAAAATGAAGTGTGTACTATAATTTTTTTTACAATGTAGCGCCCATACATACGCATCGCAATATCCGAATTTTCTTCTTATAAACATAGTGACAATAAGCTGAAACTTGATAAACGCAGGTAATATATATGAAAGTACATGTGATCCGCCAATAATAGCTACTATTGTAAAAAGGAACTCTTTATTACAACTTATTAAAGAAATTGCTTTACATATGCATAAATATTTATCAAAACTCAGTACGAAGAAGAACCTAACAAGACGTCGGAGACTTTCTCCACCAACAAAACACTGCATTTTTTATGTTCGCTATACGACGGGTAGAGGCATACTAGATTGATACTGTCGTTTGTAGCGTCTGTGCATCAATGACGACTAAGGTGAGAATGGCGACAGTTGAATATGCATGACTATATTAGGTATATAAGAATTCGAATTTTGTTCAAAGTGTGGTGTGGAGTTCCTTTTGTTCTATATATAAATAAAACCTTGAAATGTATATACGCCTATCAATAGCTTTTCTAACATAAATATCTTCTCCCTTCTTGGAATTTTCTCAAAATTTAATGCTAACAGTTTCTTTAACAAACATTTTTTAATTGCGTTCTTTTACCATCATTCCATTTCATTGTTCAATATCACGGTACGAGTCATTAAGACCAAAAATATAGGTAGAAATTATAAAAAATCTACTTTACTAAAATTATATTATTGTGTTAGGTTCAAAGATCGGTAAAATCAATCCACAATTCGACTAACACTTTTCTTCGTTGCCTTAAATTACGCTCCGAGAATTTCCTTCGGCCTTTAATAAGTCCCTTCAATAAAAATCACTGCCTTGAGCTACAGGTAAAAATGCAGCATATAAATAACTTTTTTTTTTAATTTACACGATAGTCTTTAGTTATATATTTATTTCTGTCTATATATTTCGTAAATAAATAGAAAGGTCGCCGCATAACTTAGATCATACGCTTGCTTGCTAGCCGCGATCCTTTGCCCACGAGGGTACTCAAGCGAATAATACGATTACACCGTTAATTATAGCGCGCAAAGGAATTGTTTAGAAAACTCAATTTAGTGACATTTCAAAGACTCTTCGCTAAATCTTTTTTAATCCTATAGTTTGTTTGAAATATTATTGTTATTAATGTCGTCAAAGAAAGAAATTCAATGACATTAGCATCTAAGATGCTAAGGCTATCGGCTTTCTTGATAGCTCTACGGCACTTGAGATGTACTCGAAACTCCTCTCGTCGAAAGTAAATTTATTTGCGGTTACTGCGTAGGCAAAATATAAAAATGCGCAACAAGAGGGATCCCATATGTCTCCTAAAGATTTAAGAGACTTTCAAATCATTAAAGAAATATTTGTCTCTATTCTTTTTTAAATGTGGTTTTAGGAAGTTTCGCGGCTGTTTATCCGACATTTGTGATAAAGTACCAGCTGAATAGCATTAAAAATTAAATATTGTGCCTCAGCAGATTATATTATCTTAGATAATCTTAGCGGACAAATTGCCAGTGAGTACTTTGTGAATCTTTCTTTCAGGTAAGTAAGACATTTGTAACTAATCCCTTTCTAAGCATTAGAGAGGTTATATTGTTTTATTTTCTTATTTCCTATACCAACACCACCACGATTTAAAGCAACTCAGAAATATGAGAGAAACCGGAAGAATTGTTAAAAAAAAAAAAAAATACGGGGTTATTGGTTCATTGTTTTGTTCATCTTTTTCACGTTTTTTTTTAGAACCGCATACAACATTAAATAATGATATATATGTGAATGAAGCGTTTATCCCTGCATACGATTTAAAAACTGCAAAAGCAATTATTAAAATATCTTCGGATCACTTTGTTGTTGGCATAATGTTTTTACTTAATTCTCACAACGATTGACAATGTACATATATGTATTTATCACTTAACTAAACACCTATTTGGTTATTTGCGTACATGTTTTACGTGAGCATATAATTGAAACCTTTTCATTTATTAAGAAATTCAAACCACCTCGCGATATTCGAGTCGTAAGCAATCATCAAATGAAAAATTATATGTTGTTCAAAATGAATTTTATGTATTTAAACAGTATTGTTTTTCCCCAAGTGTAGTATGTTTGTTGTTGCGAATATTGATTCATGCGTATATATGCAAGCATGAACACATGTACCCACATAAGCAGATATATGTACACTTTAATATCTACAGATGCGTTATATAGGCATCTAGAGTTGAATTATTTTGTAAGATTTTAACATTTGCAAAATTTAATGAATCGAAATCAAAGTTATAACATCGTTTAATAAATGCTACATACTCTTTTTTTGTTTTTCCTGTCTTTTTATCTACCGTTGATTTGGGCTCTTGTATTAGATATACACACACCGATGTCACCTAGCTAAGTTACTTACAACACAAAAACTATTTTTTTTTTGTTCGCACAAGCACGACACGTATCGCAATTTTTCTATCTGTGATTTTAATTAGATTTTTCAATTAAATTCACTGTGCGTTATATTGTCCGAATTGAAATTGGAATCGAATAAATGTTATGCGGATATAACTTTTCACTGTTTCAGGGATTGTTTTGGAAAACACGCACAATGTATGATATTTCACTTGTATTAGCTTTTGAGAAAAGGCGTTCTTGCATTTTCTCAATGCAAACAAAATTTTGAAACGGAGTTGCCAACCTACTTGTAAAATAATGCTTGCCAACAAACAAGAATTTACTCGTTATCGATTGTATATGAATTCAGCTACAGTTGATAAAACGTTACGAATGTAACAAAGTTAAATAAGGAAAAATTTTATAGTAATTTTTTTTTTTTTCTAAGTAATTCAATCTAGTTCACCTAGTATAGGTTAATTTATTAATAGTAACAACAATTATTAATGACAACTCAATTACACAATAATTATCATTAGTATAATTAATGATTGATGTTCCAAAAAGTTTAAGGAGTACTTTTCCGCACAGTCGAGAATAACAGTAACGGCGGAGATAAAAATAGCAATATAAAAAATAAAAGTCAAGATTTAGACAAGATTTATAGATTATAACTACATTAAATATACTCGGGCTAACTACCATTTTGATAGGGAATGATAACGAGTTCCATAACTTTGCAGCGTTAACAAAGAATAGAGTTGATGACGCTCGGTTATGATTAGACTCATCGTCCGTTCAGAATTCGTGAATCTGATCTATATTTCTCTTGCTGTTCGGTTCCGCATAAGTTTAAGACCATAACCAAACATCTTTAGCGAAAACTGTATTATCCTATCATAACTCCGTTTGTTGAAGAAGTACCTAGAATACTTATTTATGACAACTTGCAAATTTTTGTGAGATCTGTAAAAGATTGATTTTTTAATTTCTGTTAATCTTTTAAATGGTAATGGATTAAGAAATGACGAAATCCTTTGTTAGCTAAGTGAATTGTAATGAATAAAAACGAACTAATAAGTAAAAGCATTATACTACGACAAAGCCATTTATTGAATACCTTATACTACTGCACCCGCAACAATTCTTCATTTATTTTCGTGATAAAAATCCAAAAATTATATCTTGTTTTCTTTCTTCATAAGAGAGCTTTTATATGCGATTAGATTCAACACGTCCATTGGCCTGCTTCGAAATTGGCGAAATAAAATGTTCTCTTCCGAAACTAAAAACTATTAAAAATTAGCCGTTTGTTCTTCATAAGAGACCTTATACGGTAAACCGAGATACAAAAAATATATTTATTTGGTGCAGTAATTTGTAATGTCAAATTTTTTTTTCGTCGAATTTTCATCATAAGATTCTACAAATTAGGCGCTTCCGCCATGCAAAGACTGTGTTTTTTGTAGAAACGTAACGGAGGAGAGCTTTGAAAAATAGACTGATCTGATTCAAATTTTTCATATTAGTTTACTATGCAGATATACCAGTACTGGTTTTTGCTGAGGAATTTTAAAAATTGCGAATATTTGTGTGTGACACGTAAAAAGATTTTGGATATATTTTCAGAAAATGGTTCTAAATCGATGTATACAGAGTATATAAAGTTAATAGGAATTACACTCAAAAAGTCCAGAGAGAATTTCTCAGAATGACTCAGATTCGGGCCGGCTTATAAGGCATCTCTGATCGAACGCGAATCTTGATTGAAATTTATATAAAATCCTGAAGCATATTCCCCCTCTGGGGTTATTACAACTGCCTGTATCGATCGGTTTGACAACCGATGGGTTTTTTCTTGTTCTTATTTTATTCATTATAGAGGCCAAGATTCGGGCCTATTTACAAAGCATTCCTGATCAATTGCGGGTCTTAGCTAAAAATTTGTATAATTTTTTAAAAATGCTGACCTTGAAACATCAAAGAAATTGAAAGTATTTGTCACGACATAAATTGAAACGAATCGACAGAAAGCTAGTCAGTATTGCTGCATAAATGGTCTGTTAAAGGAGGAAATGTTTTTTAAGTTTATATATCTAAGGAAGTGTGGACTACTGTCAGAGTAGGAACGTAGGGGAAATTTTTTCGTTTTGTTATTTAAAGTCGTAAATTGACGTAAGGCATACACAATGTTAAGACAAATGCGTTCATATCGGATTTACGAACTTTGCATATTAACTTAAGTCCAATTTTTTTATTGCATTATCAAAACAGTTGAAGATAAAAATATTATAAATACTTCGCAGAATAAAAAATAAAAAACAATGCTATAAAAAACTTTGATTAATTATAGAATACAGTGAAGTAAATAAAATATTTAAACATTTTTTTAAACTTTAAATAAATTTCTTCGATTTATTTATTTAAAAGAGTTATTATACAATTCTTCATAATATTTTCTTAATTGGTCTCTTTTGCCCATGACTTTCAAATCTTCGATGGCGATTGTCGTTTCCATGTCCGCCGGCGTGGAAATTGGCGTAGTATTAACCTCTGTGGGATCAGTAGGAACTGTTGTAACAGATAGTCCATCGAACGGTATATAATCATTGGGTTTCCAATCTTTATCGTAAATACAATTTTCCATCTCTTGATAGGCAATCCAGTATTGTCTCTGATAATGGCGATTAGTATCATTTGTACATTTGTATAAATCATATTCAATCCTATAGTATTGCTCTGAACCATTATCAAACATATCCAAAGCAATCATGGATATCTCATTCATATTCTGAGCGAGTTTCTTAGCCTGCATAAGATAATTGGATCATTGAAATTTTATGGTATAATTCAAAAGTAAGACCTGTTCTTACCTTCCTATTATAACATTTGAAAGATTGCAAATGATTTTCAATTTCGCCGCACTCATCTAATACTCCATAAGTTGAGATAACGGTTTGATTAATCAACTCCTCCCGAAAGTTTCCCATCTTTGCGTCTACATTTTCGCGAATTTCATTAGCTTTCGTTAAGCACTGAGCGTAAGATTTACGAAATTGCATTAAAATATTCTCAAGACGTTCAACGTACAGTAAACAATCATTTTGCTGCGTTAACGTATTAAAATATGCATCTCCCTCTTTAATGTCCGTAGGAATTGCCACAGCAATACTTACGTAGAAAATAAACCAAACATGCCCATAATATTTCATATTTGATTGTTATTTACACCTGAACTCTTTTGTTAATAATTAAGCACTTTATGAAAATATATCGAATCTACTGACCACTTGGCGATAATGTCGGGGCTTTTATACAGAAATACGTTATACAGAAATGCGCATAAATGCGTTAATAACGGTTGATTAACCATCTTTATTAAAAAAAAAATTATCGATTCTGCTGCTTCCAAAATGATATGATTGTTATCATAATTAAAACTGTTGCTATTTGAAACATTAATTAATCTTATCATAATTAATATGAAATAATGGTTATTTTTAAAAAGAGAGAAATTATATTCCATTTAAGAGGAATCATATATGTAGCTATAGATCTTAATAAAAACTATATAAATTTTTGCATTTAATGTGTGTTTGAAAATAAACGATTCATTAAATAAACGTCATTCTCATAAAGATAGATAATCTTTTTGATACCCACCACTGAAAGATGGGGGTATATTCATTTTGTCAAAGTGCTTGCAACATTCAAAAGAGAGCTTCAGATACCCTAAAAAGTATACATATATTCTTGATTAGCATGATCTTCTGAATTGATTAATCCTTGTCCGTCCATCTGTCTTCTTTTTGTTTTTTTAAAGCCATAGTGACAGCCTGCTGCCAACCGCTGGTGTTAAACCATCTCGGAATCCCTTTGCATTACCTCGGGATGGATCGATATGGATTTTTTATCCTTATTATGTCAACTCATCTTCCCTCGTTGTTGTCTGAGATTAGGACAATCTAATTTTTACCAGCGAACAACTGAACGCGGATTGCCCAAAAGACGCGGTATACACGTACACAATAACCTTGCCCTCCATTATTTTCTGTCTGAAAAATTTATGGTAAATCATATATTATTGTATTATACTACTAAAGAGAACAAAAATCGAAACAACTGACTGACATGGCGTAAACGTGCAAATGCAATGATTGAAATTTTCTTAATAGAATTTGATTAATTTTAATTTTAAAGAAATTATCCCACAACAATGCAATTTTTGGAAACAAAATACTGAGTCGAGTTATGGAGAAATCAACGTTAATTGCATTCTGTATATGATTCTAAGAATTGGGATGAGAGTATAGGTTCACCTTCCTTTAGAATCGTTTTTCAGTCGCTGTTGCCATTCCATCAGCATGAGCTGTTTTAAGTCCCTTGTAGCCCTTTCAGCTTTCGCAGATGCTTACTTTGTAATACTATTGTGTATACGGTTGTGCTTTATCCGAAATCTTCTTAACCTGTTTCGCGACCGTTAGTTTCGCATCTCTTTGCATTCCAAGATATCTTAAATTGAAACTGAAATAAATGCAGTATCCATCCACTTCTGGTTTTGGATCTTGGAACACCTTTCTATCCGTTACCAGTATGGCTGCATTTTTCGCCACGACAAGTGGTTTCAGTTTGGACTTATACAGCTTATATGAATCGATTTCTCTCGAATCGATCCTCTGTTCTGCTGTGGCGTCGTTTGTATTATACAGTACACTTCTGTTATACAAGTAGCTGTCCATTCTTTTAACAAAGCACGGAGAAAATCTTCGTTTATTTAACCATGTCATGAAGGTTCTCCCGTCCGCCTTGTTAAAGGCGTTTTTTTAATATGTAAAGAGATGACAGCGCAGAACACTTTTGCGTTCTTGCTACCGAGATCACTACCTCAATAGCGTCAATTGTCGATCGTCGTTGGACAAAGCTAAATTGGTGCCTAGACGAGTCGCCCCAGCTCTTCAGCTCTTTCTCTACTACCACTAGTAGCAATTTCTCGAAAAGTTTGCACACATTGTCCAGGGGCCAGCTAGGTCTACAAAAAGACGCACTCTCAAGCGGCTTGCCGGGCTTTTGTAGCAATACCAAAAGCTGTGTTTTCGACAGTGAAAGGTGCCGCGTCTAAGGCATAAGTTGCACGTTTCACCGAGTAAATCCGGCCATTTGTTGCCAACCAGTTGTATTATTTCGTTAGGTATTCCATCTGGTTCCGATGCGCTTTTCTTTTCCGATATTCAATGCTTTGCC